AGCCACCAGTGAGGTGCACTAATGAATAAGTGCATCAATTCCAGTTTGATTTTTATAACTGAGCTAAACTTATCATAAAGGGGAATCCAATTTTGACAACTGAAAAGCAATACCTTTGTTGGAGAATTTGGCATGGTATGATGTATATACCATAAATCACTTCATGCACTTAGATTATGTGTTTATTTTGGGGGGAAACTGCAACATCATTATCATTGACGCAAAGCAGGGAGGAGCAGCAATTCTAGTGCACAACATGTTTTCATTTTTACATACTGGACTACTGCTCTAACACTCCTCCCTTAATTAGTTAGAAAAGTAATCCTAGAACTTTCATTTATAAGAGATTGTTAGATTATAGGAAACTAGACATTCAAAAATGTAGAATAAGAAAGTATTCCCTGGTATGAATAATGGGTTCAGGTAGTGATAAATTCTTCATTTTCAGGAGGAGACATTCCCAAGACTTTTAGGGAGACCCTGGTCTGCTCCCTCCTAAAAAAAAAAAAAATCTTGAGAAAGTATGAAGTGATTAATTATCATATAGCTTTTGAATAAATATCTTTTTTTTCTAATATTTTTTATATATTTAATATAATTTATATATATATATTATTTTTAAGTTTATTATTGTATGTTAGAGTTAAAGTATGTTAAATTTTGTTTGTATTATGAATGGATAGCTTACTTTAGACTTGGGATGTTATGTATTTATCCCTGTACTCAGTTCTGGGAAGTCCAGGGGGGAGCCCCCTTCCCCTACTTCCCCATCTTAATATTTTTAAACCACATAAATATTTACTTTACATTTACAAACAAAAATTCTTCTCCTCTACTAGCCGATCATGGGGATTTGACGTAGGCTCCACCACCTTTTCTTCCACTACCCTACACATCCTATCAACCCTTCCACCTTTCTCCTCTCCATCACCAGTTCTCCGGGAGGAAAGAAGAGGGAAGTAGGTAGGAAGGTGGAGGGAGTGTGGATGCAGGGGGGGGGATGCCAATTATTTCGGAATAGGCTTTTTATGTGCTTGTTTTTCTAATGAAATGCACCATATTTGTATTATTTGTTCATATTTTATTTGAAAAAATTAATAAAAATTTTTTAATAAAAAAAAATATCTTGATACTGTCTGGATAATTTTTGTTCAGTCTCTCACCTTTTAGGAAACATGGTTTAAAAAATGGTTGTGTGGCACCTTGTGTTGATGAAATGGATTATCTGGACTCCTTCCAGTGAGATTTCAAGCACACTATGGAACAGAAACAACATTACTTGTATTTGTTGATGATTTCTGGTGAGAGTGGGATGGAGGTAGCTCATTCATCCTTCTTCTCCTTGACCCCTCACTGGCCATAGATACCACTGACCATGCTATCCTTTTGGGCCAGCAGCAGGATTTAGAGCTAGGTGATGCAGTTTTGCCCTGCTTTGACTCCTTTCTCCAAGGCCGGGCCCAATTGTGTTCATAAGAAGTGAGAGGTCCAGTCCATAGCTGTTCCGTTGTTGTTTGCCTTAGTGTATAGTTCTCTTTCCACTCTTTTTAAACATCTACATGAAGCTCTGGGTGAAATCATCTGCCATCAAGCAATGAGGTACCATCAGTATGCTGATGATATTCAATTTTACATTTCCATCCATGGTGACCCAAGTGATATTGTCACTGCCCTCTCTCAGTGTCTGAAGTCTGTGTGTGTGTGTGTATGGGGGGTGTCTGGATGGGGGACAATAGGCTTCAATTGAGCCCTAGTAAGACCGAATTGCTTTGGATGTGTGGAGCTTCAGGATATGGGAATTTAACATCTTTTATTCTGGAAGGGGTTACACTGCCCCAGACAGACCCAGTGCACAACCTGGGGGTTCTCCTGGACTCTTGATTCCTGCTCAAAGCTGGCAATAGTGGCTAGGAAAGCCTTTGTGCAACTTTGTGTTGTGCACCAATTTGGACCTTTCCTGGATCATGGGTCCCTGTGCTCAATTCTTCAGGCCAGATCATCTCACATCTGGGCTACTGCAAAGCACTCTATATGGAGCTACCCTTGAAAAGTATTTGTAAGCTATAGCTGGCACAGAATGCAGCTGCATGGCCCAGTCTTGGGGCTCCTAGGGCAGCCTTTGTTACATAAGCTGCAAAAGGTTGCCAGTTTGCTTCCAGATCCAATTCAAGTTTGTCGTCTTTAAACTCTTTATGGCATGGGTCCAGGTTACCTAAGGCAGGGCTTTTCAACCAGTGGTACGGGTACCACCTGTGGTACATTGGCACCTGGCAAGTGGTACGCGACCATCCTAGAAAAGTGGTAGTGGGGGAGGGGAATGAACTGAACTGGTGGCAGCACTGCACAAGCCTGAGTGAGAGATGGCTGGAGCTGTAGGGCTGTCAGGGCTCAGTGGAAGTGCCAGGATCAGTGCCAGGCTCCAGCTGGGTCCAGAAGAAGCACCAACCAGCTGGAATGTTGCAGCATCTCCAGGGTCTTGTGATTTACATTCAGATGCTTGGCAACTGATTCATATTTATGACAGTCACAGTATCCCAGGGTCATGTGAAGTGACCAAAACCTGCTGCAACCACCCAGCAGACGGGGAATAAAAACCAAACACCCCCCCCACCCCAACCCCACTGCCAATCCTCAACAGAAATGCTCACAACAATGAAAACCTCGGATAGGAGGAAGAGCGCCGCTGGGTGGCAGGTGTCTTGCTCGGCTGTGACTTGGGGGGCACTTTTTTCATTGTAACTTCGAACAGTCACTAAGCGAACTGTTGTAAGTCGAGGACTACCTGTACTTTATCACTTTTTTCCTTTTTTTTTTTTTGGGTCATCAAGTTTTTGACACCTTGCTAGGCGACTGTTGGTACTCGGATATTGCCATATCCTAAAAGTGGTACAATGGGTGAAAAGGTTGAAAAGCCCTGACCTAAGGAACCATCTCACCAGAACAGGATTGGCTTGCCTAATCCACACTGCTATAAGATGCATATTGCAGACCCAGTTGATCAAGGACGTCCAGCTGGCAGGATCCAGAAGAGACTTCTTTGCTGGAACATTGTACCTCCTGAGGTGAGAACTGCACCCGTCTTTTAGCCTCCCAAAATGGCCTGAAGACCTGGTTATGCCAATTGGATTGAGCCAGGCATCTTTGCAAGACGATTTGGGTTTTAGAACATCACCCTCCAAAATTAGCTAATAGATGTATTGCATCCTTGTTATATGCAGATGATATAGCATTTTATTACAAATGCAAACTAGACCTAGATGAGCTCTGAACACTCTGGCTAATTATTACTTAGAAGACACTTTCAAAATCAAGTATAGTAAAACTAAGATTGTGATGTTTGCAAAAAGACCTAAATTGCACGCTTAGGAAATAAATGATCAGAACATCAAGCAAGTTAAATCCTTTAAATGTTTTGGCATAGTTTTCCATAGCTCTACTAAATGCAGTGCACATCAAAATTATGTTATTCAACATGCTCAAAAAATATGGCAATTCAATCATTTCATTTCTCCAGAGGAGCACAGTATATTCCAGTAGTACTGAAGCTACATTTAGCTAAGGCTTGCACACAACTACTCATTGGTGCTCAGCTGGAATCTTATTCTTACTTTACTCCTCTGGAAAGGGTGCAGTACAAATTCCTAAAAGCTATATTTCAGGTAGTTCACTGTGTCCCAAATGTAGTAATAAGGAGGGAAGCAAGTATCTAAAGTCAAAACAGGTGCATGGACTTAAACTATAGCACATACTATAAAATACTGTTTTGTCCCACAGGTTTGAATTCTTTCCTTATAGAGGACAGTTATGGTTCAGGACCATTTCACAAAAACTTCAGTATCTTGGCTTTTCTGGGGAAGTTCTCTTAATGATAGGGCATGAATATGCATTTAGTGTATTTAAATAACATCTCAAAGACCAAAGATTAGTCTGCTCTTCCTAAGAACATTTTTTTGAGCAATCTCCTCCTTTTAAAGCAGCAAGATACTTATACCATTTAACTGTCCTCAAACTTCAAAGGGCATTAATTTCAGCATGCTGCAATAAATTTCCCACAGAAATGTGGCTAAATTTTGTTGTACCATCTGCAAATAAATACTGAAGTGATACAAGCATGTATTCCAAAGTACTACATTAGACATAGCCCATCTACTTTTTCTATTGAATCATCCGCGTATGTAAGAGAGAACCTCAAATCTTTGCCTTAGTTTTCTTTTTCTCCTCCCTAGAAATTTCATCTGAACGTTGCTAACAGTATGTATGGATGGGATTTACAAAACTTTTGTAAACAGATTTAAACTTATTTGAACCACATTACAAAAAATATGTTGAGATTTTTAGAAAAAAATGCTAAGAGCAACTAAAATGATTAAGGGCATGGAGATAAAAACATATGAAGAACAGTCACAGGACTTGGGCATGGCTAGTCTAGAGAAAAGAAGACTAGGAGGGGGGCATGATAGCAGTATTCCAGTATTTGAGGGGCTGCCACAAAGAAGAGGGGGGGTCAACTTATTTTCCAAAGCACCAGAGGGCAGGACAAGAAATTACAGATGGAAACTAATCAAGGAGAGAAGCAACCTGGAATTAAGGAGAAACTTCCTAACAGTGAGGACAATTAACCAGTGGAAAAGCTTGCCTTCAGAAGTTGTAGGTGCTTCATCACTGGAGGTTTTTAAGAAAAGACTGGACAGCCACTTGTCTGAAATGGTATAGGGTCTCCTGCTTTAGCAAGGGGTTGGACTAGAAGACCTTCAAAGTCCCTTCCAATTCTGATTGATTGAACTGTGCAACAATTCAAAAATACAAGATTTTAGGATCTTATATCTATTCATTTGTGGAACAGTGCCATGGAAGGCACCAGAGGCTCTAGCGTGGCAATAGTTACAGATTCATCTTGCCCTGGAATATGAACTGATGACCTACCAAGGTGGATCACATTTCTATAAGCGCTCCCTTCCCCCAGTCAGTTCTCAATAATGTATGTCAGGCCATCCTTATTATCATACCAAACTGGCATTTGGAATCAGCAAGGAACCTGGGGCCATAAAAGCTCTGATGGCCAAGTCTTGGGGGGAAGCAGAAGAGGCTGGAATGCAACAGTGATACAAACTTCAGGGCAGCTTCTTAAGAGTGACCTGCAGTTGTGTCTGATGATAACTTTCCATGCTTGTCATCACCATGATGTCACTGCTTGCTTTCTCCCCTTAGAATACCCACCATACCCAACCCTT